ATTTTCTCACGAAACAAACCCTACGCCACTCCCCTTGTGTTCCTGATTCCTCTAGATCTTGGCGCCACCGGAATGGCTGGCCGCCGCTGCTAAAACGCTATAACATCTTTGTGACAGGAGTTCAATTGCTGGGAAGAAGCCGATGTACTAGTGTAGCCACCCTTCCTACCTTGTTTGTCAGAGAAGAGGAAAAACAAGCTGCCCGAACGATTTGGAACAGTAAAAAGATGGAGTTTCGCCAACTGCTATGAAGTTGTACAAATTCGCAATGGGTTTGTTGAGTTACACCGAAGCATCTCCTTGGAGCTTATTTATGCACCTTTGGAGCTTCAGATGGAAGCATTTGTGCACTAGAAGTGTCCTTACACACCAACCATCAACTGATAATACAATTAAGGTTTTTTACAGCATTGTTCATTCCTTTCTTTTTTTCCTTTCCTGAGATAATATTTTCTTTTTTCCCCTTTTTTTTGAGGTAATATTTTGTTAGGTGATGGTAATCTTTTTTTTTAGGTGATGGTAATCTTTTCTTTTTCCTGGTCATTGTTCACTCACTGGAAACTGGGAGGAGAACCAACGGGGCAGGGCCCAACCCAACCCAACCCAGTCCTAATGCTACGACCCATGAGCCACCTCCAGCAGCTAGCTAGCTAGGTCTTGGCGGCGCCGCCATGAGCCACCTCCACCCCGGCCGCCGCCGCAGCGCGCGCCACAGTTCCCGCCCACCCACCACGCGCCTCCATCCCCAAATCGACGCCACTGAGGACGGCACCGGAGTGGCCAGCCACCGGCGCAGCAGTAAGCGCCGGAGCTCCCACATCCAATCGAGCGAGGGGGGCGACCGAGTGACCCGCCGCTGCCGCGGTAAGCGGTTCCGCGCCCAGACTCATGCTAGCGAGGTGGGCGACGGCACCTCGCCGGAGCCGCCCGCCTCCCCGCTTCAAGTCGACGACCTCCTGAGGGAGATCCTGCTCCGCCTCCCCCTGGACCTACACTCGCTCTCTCGGGCATCCGCCGTCTGCAAGCCGTGGCGAGGCATCGTCGTCGATTCCAAGTTCCTCCTCCGGTTCTATACACGCCATCGTAAGCCGCCCCTCCTCGGATTCTTCCAGCGCGGCGACCAACGGCTCATGTTCACCCCCGTCATGGCTCCTGCTCCCGACCGCATCCTACCTGGGAGCTTCGACCTTGGACATTGCTACAGCCACGTGCTTGATTCCCGCCACGGCCGCGTCCTTCTCAGTGCCTGGCCCCGGATCTTCATGTATGATCCTATCACCAGCAAGCAGCACGACATGTCCATTCCTCCGGTGTTCTTGGACCGCCACTTCAGCGCGGCAATGCTCTGTGCTGCCAGCGACCAGGGACATGTGCACGGCGGCTGCCACTCCTACCCCTTCAAGGTGGTCTTGGTGTCCATGTACAGAGGGGGGCAACCCATTGCCCGCGTTTACTCCTCAGAGACTGCCACATGGGGCGGTCTCATCTCTACCAAGACTCGACATGTTGGGTCTTCTCTTGATTCTGGTGGCACCCTTGGATCCCGCTTTAGGGATCACTGCTACACTTTCACGAGTTTCTCTCCACTAGGTGATTTCTTATCCTTGGTCTTTATACCTTACGAATTAGGACTAACCCAATCTAGTTATGTTCTGTACATGTTACCTTTGCTAGATGGACAAATTTATCGCCGTAATACTTTATTATATGTTATGTTTTCAATGTGCTTGTCTTTTGTATTGGAAGGTACCAAATCAAAGTCAAATGATTAACTTAGTTCGCTAGTTTGAGCGCCCTAGCTGCTAGTTTATCTATTATATATTATTATTATCACTGTTGAATTCATACTTTCTTTAAATAATTTTGATTTCTCATTTGTTCATGACCCCTTCTGTAGGTGATTGTTATGTTTGTAGCACATAGAAATAAGTTGCATTTCTTGTCTTGGGATCCATTCACTTAAAACAGAATGGCCAATGACATTTTTGTTTCACGAGTTTGTTTTGGCATAATTCTGTGTGGTTGACACTATGAGGAATGAGTTCACTTGAGAACATTTACAGGTCATGGTTTTTCCCTTAAAACTAAATTCTTAGTTATGAGGTAGCTAAGTATGCTGCTTGTATGAATGTTATTTGCATTTTACAACAGATGTGGTTTTGTTCATCTACTGCTAGTGTCAAGCGTGACTTAGAGCACATCAATAGAAATAAGTTATATAGGTGAATTAGTTTGCTCAAGTTAAATTTCTCAGCTCGTCTTTCTAACAGTCTCATGTTGCCTTCTCTTATCCATTTGTCCTTATTGTGGACTGTTGTTAATTGCTAGAGCTCTTATGCTTTTAGGCACAACCATTGCCGGTGGAACTGATGGAGCTGAAATGTTAGGATGACACTGGTTTGATGTGCTAATGTGCTGAAACGGTCTAATGGGTAAGATCTTCTGAATATAATTTATGAGATTTGGGCTGTTTGATTTTTTTTTCTTTCGAAGATATGTGGTGGCCAATGTGGGTAGCATGCACCCTCAAACTACTCTCCATTTAGATGTACGGCTGTAGGGATTTGCACATGCTAATAACACAGAGAAACAACTAAAGTGGTGGTGAGGCTAAGTAAAAAACGACTCATGTTGGATTATAAATGATATGCAGATGATCCAAATGTCGTATGTCTAGAGTTCTCCCTTGGTTTAACTTTTTCATAATCCATAAGTTTAAAGCAACATATTAGTAGCCCATTTTGCTATTAGCCTATTACAGACATCAGTGATCAGTCATTTCATTCAACTTCATCACCTAAAAAATCGTGTGAAAAGGCTAAAGGATTTATGATTTTGTCATGTATATAGCCAGTAATATGATATTACTCTTTCTTTTTTGGAGGGGATATGATATAGCTCTACTTTATGTTGCTGAGCTGATCATGGGTCTGTACGCATGGCTTGTTCATACAATGTTACATACTCCTAGCTACTACTATTAGTTTCTGATGTATTAGGCTACTAATAATTAAGATTGATGATTTTGTTTTCTCCAGGTGAAGGAAGGGTTGCTGTGGTTGTTAGTTGTTGGTTTGTCGCGTCGCATCAGTGTGGTCGGCAGTGTTTATATGTTACCTAAAAGGCTACAACAACCTACCGTGCCTTAATCTAGCCAAGTCTCTAATGTAGGAAGATGCTTTTGAATACCTAATCCAGGGAATTTGAGCTGAACCTAGTATTATATGAAGTTGGATTCCGCCGTCTCCTGTTTTTGCTTCATGCTTGTGCTTGGCAGCTCTTGTGTTGAGCAATGAGAGTTTCAGCTTACCCTAGTATTATCACCTAAACTTGTATGTTCGTGTGTGCTTCTTAGACGCGTGGTTTGAAAAGCATGCCATCCCTAGAACTTTTACAAATTATCATTGCAGGGTGGGCAAAGTCGATGCGTTCATGTTGGCAGGACCGAATGAAGATGTATTTCAGTTGAAACGTGGTTTGCATGGCCAAAAATCAGATCTGATCAAATCAAATAAAGTCTGCATCCATGGATCAAAAAGAACCTTCGTAAGCACTGTTTCGGTCTGGGTTTACAAATCATTTCATCGTTTTCATGACTGAAATGGACTCTAGAAATTTGGATCAGAGAGACGTGACTTTCTTTGCCCTGAGACTGAGGTTTGCTGCTGCTGTCCAGTTATTTGTGGTGGTCCATATGTGCCAGAGGACTCATTGTTCTTGCAACGGCTGTTTACCGCTAAAGATGCAGGATTGGAGAACAACGGCTGTTTACTGCTAAAGATGCAGGATTGGCCGGCAGCAAGTCTATAGTCGTACTCCAAATTGCAGGAACACTTACGGCAGGAGGTTGCATTCTTAGCTGTAATTCTCTGCTGGGTTTCCAAGTCATCTCAAGCGTGTTTTATACGATTTGCATGAGCACGTATGGCAGGAGGTTGCATTCTTGGCTTGTAGTCTTATGCTGGACTTGCAAATCATTTGACTGTATTTATACGGCTGAAAATAACACAGATTATATCGGAATGATGTGGCAATTTGTTCTCGGTCTACAAGTCATTTGAAGTTTACATGTCTGAAATTATTGTTGTACAAATTCGGATGTCAAAGACTGGACTTCCCTTGCCCTGAGAACAAGGTCCACTGGGAACGAGGTTGCTGCTGATGTCCAGTTATTTGTGGTGGTTCATATGAGCCAGAGGACTCATCCTCGCAGCGGCTGTTTATTGCTGAAGGTGCGGGACTGGACGGCAGCGAGTCTACTATCACACTCGTAATCGCAGGAACACATACGGCAGGAGGTTGCATTCTTGGCTTGTACAGTTTCTGCTGAACTTTGAGGTCATTTGAATGTTTCCTATGCTGCTGAAATTACCATCATTAAATTGGAATGCATGTGACAGCAAGAAATCAGCTTAATTTTTCTTACCCTGAGCTGACTGAGGTTGCTGCTGCTGTCCACTACTTTGGTCCATATGTGACACTATGGTTGTAGTTACGCACTCACATTCATGGTTACAAGAACTTAGCCTTAGCAAAAATAGATAGAAGTGTGAACATGTCCGTCGACACGAATTCCTCTGCAATCATCATCATCTCCATGCACTGAGACTAAGCTTTTCATCAATCACAAGGGTTCGTACTTCATACAGGACAGGCTGGGTCTGTTCATAACAGCAGCAGCAGCTGAAGAAAACATAGTACTCTGCGTTTTTTACATCATATCTTTTGTGTGTGTCCACCTCAAGTTTAATACATTCCTTGAACCCTGTAATCATGCTAACAATATTTTAATACCAAGTGAAAATGTACTGATATACTCGAATAGTATGTGTCTTCCAGGAAGATAATTACGTTTCAATTAACAGTTGGAGATCAACATCCTCTAACTGCTAAACATTATTACATCTTTCCACATAAAACTTCACATGACTTGGAAAACATAATAATAGGATATTTCATAAGACTTGAGACATTAAATCACACACACACACACACATATGCTACTCATCCTCCTCCGAGATCTCAGTCAGCTCGGATAACAAAGGGTAAGAATCCGGGACAGGGGTGTGCTCATCGTCGCAGAAGAATGGCCTGGAAGGCATCTGCAAACCATCAAAGCCACCTTCCAACATCTCTATGACCTCGCTCATCGTTGGCCTGTCATGTGACTTCATCTGAATGCACCATAATCCAACGATGCACAGCTTCCTCTCCAATTCATGCATGCCAGCAGCTGGAGATATCGCATCCACCGCTGGAGCAGTTAGTTTGTCATTCACCCATGATGGGTAGTAAGACTGGCTTGAGTTCGCCGCATTTGGATCAGCGTTCCTTCTTCCTCCGGCTATCTCCAACAACAGCATCCCGAAGCTGTAAACATCGGACTTGCTTGATATGGCACCAAAGCTCCCAGATATCATCTCAGGAGCTATGTATCCAACAGTCCCACGTAAGGCATTAGATGGCACAAAACTGTTGTTCCATGGGTAAAGTTTGGCAAGTCCAAAATCAGCAAATTTTGAAACAAAATTGCTGTCAAGAAGAATGTTGTGTGGCTTGATGTCAAAGTGCAGAATCTGCATTTCGCACCCCTGATGCAGGTAGTTGATCCCTCGAGCAATGCTTAAAGCAATCTCATTGAGCTTGTCCCAAGAAAAACTCTTCTCGGGTGAAAAGATGTATTTGTCAAGAGAACCTCGAGGCATGTACTCATAGACAAGCGCCCTTCTCATCTCCTCTGAGCAGAACCCGATCAGACGCACCACATTGACATGGTGGATCCTGCCAATGGTAGAGACTTCACTAATGAAATCTTCTTCATTGCAGCTGGAGTTACTCTGTAGCATTTTCACAGCAATACGGAGATCTTCTGGGAATAGCACACCCTTGTACACAGATCCATAGCCACCTTGGCCCAGTTTGTCTCTGAAATGGCTTGTGACTGCAATGATGTCTATGTAGGCGTACCTTATCGGGCCAATCATTTGGTGGATCCGGAGGAACTTCTCAACCGCATCAATTGTGATCCTTATTTTCCAATACTTGTATGCAAGGAAGATCAATACTGCCAGGGGTGCTAGCACAAACCTGCATAGTACTGCACACAAGTTGGGATACCGTAGTTAGACTGTCATATATAAGCATACCAGATTATAGCTGTGATGATTTAAAAAGGAAATTGCCACATACCAAAAAGGAATTTGGTGATGTCAATAGCAGATATTATGGCATTATAACCCACAACCACATACACGAGACGCGGTTTTCTTACATAACTTCTTACTGCATCAGAGCGTTCATAGCATTTTAAGAACGGTATCTCACTCGAGAAAAAAAGCACGAATCGGATTCATTGTGTTTGCAGGAGATGCTTGCTTCCTGAAGTCACTGCAAATCACCATTGAACAAAAAATAATTCAAGAGGGGATGCAATTTTTTAGTTGGTCATAAAACAAACCGGAACGGGAGGAATAGAAACACGGGTTCTCATCGTGACACTCCATCTGCCAGAGAGCAGACTCACCTTGTTGAATTGTTCAGGCAACCTTTGATGACCGTAGAAAGGCTGTCGAGCCAAACACCACGACCAACACGAACATGAAATCCCTTGCTTATGAAGTGCATGGTATCTTCGTAACTTGCATTTGGTAACTGTTTGTCCAGGATTGATGAAGCATCAAAGGGTGACGCGGCCAAGTATCCACAGGAACGCGCAAGAGATTGAATATCACAATAATTACGGTCAGTCCAGAAATAAACAAATGAATTTTTCGCACTCAGGCAAGGAGCGGGCTTGTATCGACTAAGTATTATTTACTACTGCTCGCGAACAATTAGCAAAGCATGCCCAACGACCTTCAACTGACAAATAGTAAAGTTCATCTGATCTATCATCTATTCCGTCCGGGTAAGAGTAGCTAGCAGGAAGAGGGTAAATGCTTGCAAGGTAATGGAACAACAAAGTGCACCAAAGTTCGCCATGATAGATTCGCAGATCGATATCCTGGTTATGGAGAAGACCACAGGATACCACTTGTTTTTCCTGAGGAGGGGACTCTTAACTCTATTCACTGTAGGGAAATAGGTATGTGTAGACCGATACAAGATGCGAAAGGAAGATTTTTCTCTCTTGCTCTATCTACTAGTCCCTCCGTTTCTAAATATAAGTCTTTGTAGAGATTCCACTATAGACCACATGCGGATGTATATAGATGCATTTTAGTTTGTAGATTCACTCGTCTTGCCCCGTATGTAGTCCATAGTAGAATCTCTACAAAGACTTATATTTAGAAACAGCGGGAGTACTAGGTAATATGTAGTTTATATTCCACAGAAATATTGCAGTTATACTAGGATTTTCGCACAGTGCCCTTGTCACATGGCGGTAGTGCTTCTAGTCTAAAGGAATCCCTCGAGAAAAAGACATGCCTATGGGTACAGCATGACTGACCAAAACGAAGCTGGTGTTGGAACAGAAGAGTTACTAGAATTTCCACAGTGCCCCTTACTACACGGAAATGATTCTATTTACTTGTTGACGGGATAGACAAGGACTGCACAAATTCTACAACCACACATTCATAGTTGGAATTCGTCTGTCGGTGGGAAACGACACCTATGGGATCACAAGAATCCCTAATATGATTGCAGGGCGCGGGATCATGAGAAGAGCGGGACTAGTAAACAGCACAAAGGGGGATTTACCAGGTTCGGGCCGCAAAGATGCGTAAAACCCAACGATCCTGCTTTGGTGGATGTATTTAGTGTTCTTAAGCTCTTGAACTAGCTCTGGATGCTGGCAGGTTCGAAAGAGCCGAATCCTTTTCCAGTGCGCCATGGGCCTCCTTTTATAGGCGAAAGGGGCTGCCAGAGTGGCACACAGGAGGTGGAATGTGCTACAGTGTTGTGAGCTTATCGTTGGTATTACAGGACAAAGCGCATTTAATGCGAGGCTTAGGTGTCCCTTCATTTTATCGGGGACGGGGGCGAGGCCCTTCCCGTCCGTGGCCGCTCCTCCTTGCTTTGATACGCGCCCTGGCTAGCGATGCATGCGGTGCCATGTAGGCAGGCAGACAGCTGAGGTGGCACGGTGGTGGAGCCTCCACGAAGGGCTGCATGCTGCCACGCAGGTGCCTGCCCAGCTGGTTGGGTCGGCAGCTACATGCGAACGGCGGCGGGGACTTGGCTGGTGTGGGCCTGGCAGTGGCCCTGCTGGCGCCCTTGGCGAGGGCCTTGCAGGTGGCCCGACAAGGGTCTTGCCGCGGCACGCTGTTGTCCCCAACAAGGACCTTGCCGGGGGTCTTGTGGGCTTCCTCGGCAAGAACCCTGCCAAGGGTTGTTGCCTTCCAATCCTCATCTGATCTTAAATATTCTTTGTCTTCACAAAGAACTGCATGCCACCACGGAGGTGCCTCCCGAGCCCTGTCCCAATGCGTTTGTTTAGCATTGGTGGGCTCGAAGGTGGCTCGCTCCGTTGGTGTGGGCGAGCTGCCCCGGCAAGGGTCTTGCCGGGGCCGCTGAGGCTGCCCGGCAAGGGTCCTTGCCGGGGAAACCTGCTTCGTCCATCCGATCTTTGTGGTCTTGGTCCTTGTCGTTGCTTTGTTTGTCTTACGCCTTCGGCTTCTTTCCGGCTTCCCTCTCCTGCCCTATTGTGCATGGATGTGGCAGGTGGCTCTGACTACCCGTGCACAAGTAAAGGGGTCAAAAGCAAAGCCCCTATTTTTGTATTCCCACAGAAGCCCCCGGGCCTGGGCCATACATAAGCGCGACACGTTGTTGGGCCATACCCAGAATGGTGCGCGGGCAGGCGGGACGGATTTTTACCGCAGTAACTGTTCCGTCCGTCGCGCTTCCCCACGACCTGCGTCGAACATGTGACGTGGGGTCGTGCGGGCGTGTGTGACCGAAGCATGCTGGCGTCATCTTGCGGTGGATAGTAAAGAGGTGGCTTGCGTGTCTCTTCGAGACCGCAGGGCCGCTGCTCATTTACTACCCTTATTCGGGAACCGCCGCGCCATGCGTCCCATTGCGCCCGTCCCTTGTGCCACGTTCGCCGCATGCATGATGCAGAGCGAATGATAGGCGCGCGGGATGCGGGAAGTCGCGCGAGTGCAGGCCGATTCCCACGCGCCTTTAATTGAGCGGGGAGGGTGATCGATGGCCCCGCCCGTGGTTACTTCAACAGGCTGGATTGGTCGAGAGGGGCGGCCGAGCCTTGCTCTCGCCCCTTTATAAAGAGGGGAGCGGGAGGAACGGCACCTCTCAATCCTCTGTCATCTGCTTCTCCCCATTCTTGCCTTCTCCTTCTTCCTGCCATGGCAAGGGGGCGTGGCGATGCTTCATCGGTGGCGGCGAGGGTCTCGGCTCGACAGCGCATTGCTCCCTCCCAAGAGCATGCGGCGGCGGAGCCGACCGTGAGGGGAAGAGGGAGAGGACAGGGCCGAGGCCGCCGTGGTGCTCGGGGGAGAGGAGGACAGGGCGGTGCGTCGGCCTCGCCTCCACCAACAACCCTTCCCCCCACGGAAGGCCACGTCGGGGACAACCCCTTCGAGTTCTTCGTCAGGCTACGCCGGTCGGCGCGCCGTCGTCTCCGTCTCTCGACCCCGTTTGCTCGGGCCATGGAGCTGGATCCACGGCAGGCGTTGCGGCTGCATATGAGGGGTTGTGGGAACAGCGGCATATGGGCTGATGTCGAGTTCCCCTCCCCTCACGTCATGTATCTCTGTCGTGGGTGGAAGACTTTCGCCCGTGTCCACAGCCTGACGCCGGGGCTCGTTCTCCTCTTCAAGTTGATGGAGGACGGCCTGCTCTCCATCAAGATTTTTGGAGACCTTGGCACTCGTCTAAAGTGCTTCCTGGAGAGCTCCTCCGACGATGAAGATTCCTCCTTGAGCGAGAGCGACGAGAAGGACAGCGGCAGCGACGACGAGGGTAGCGGGCGGCAGGATGACGGGTCTGACTAAGCGTCGGGCGCGTCACTCCGGGGCGGCACCGGCGACCCCATCATTCGTGTCGCCGGCTCCTTGAACTTCTCGGGGTCGCCTCTTGGGGCGGCTGGCGTCGGGAGGCTGTGGAAGAGGAAGAGGGCGGGTGGCAAGGCCGTCAAGTCGGAGTATGCGGGCACCGACGCCTTCGTAGCGTATTGATGGTCCTGCCGCCTCGTCTTCCAGCTCTTCTACCGTCATAATCATCACCAGCCTCCCTTCGGGGTGGCCACCAGGATGTT